ATTTCTAAAGGCTGGATATCTGGGGGAACCTCTGGACCTGGTCTATTTAGAAGCATTTCAAAATATTCAATCCGTCTGTCCATTTGATCTTTAGTGTTACTTTTGTTTCTAGTGACATCCATAAGTGTGCTACTTTTGTTTCTAGTGACATCCATAAGTGTGCTACTTTTGTTTCTAGTGACATCCATCAGTGTTCTACTTTTGAAGTTTACTACTTTTGTTTCCAGTAGACACAGAAAAAGTTGTCACGACTAAAAACAGAAAACCTGCCTATCTGCCATATTGACTAGAAGCTACTGAAGTATTAACTGTAAACACATATAGATGCATGTCTTTCTCTCTGTGTCTGATTTGCTGTTTTTTCTCCCTGTCTCTTTTTCGCTTCTTCCATGAAAGCAGGGAAAACTATCTCAGAGCGGATAGATCTTCTAAGTGCCGAATTTCTTTGACCAAGAACAATGTCGTCTGAGCTGATCAAAAGACTGTAACTATTGGGTTCAAGTCTTTACACAGTCCATCAACTGGACTCAGCTATAGAATCTCTGTCTGTCTCTCTGTCTCTCTCTCTCTCTCTCTCTCTCTCTCTCTCTCTCTCTCTCTCTCTTTTTTCATTTTTCACTCACTCACTGGTTCTCCTCTCTCACACAAACACACACAGAGAGAAAACTTGCAGTTATTTGTTTCTTTTATCGGAAACCTCCATGGTGGTCAAGTCATTTGCCTCTGGCTCTAGAGTGTGGATTAGATTCACGGCTGAGTTTTTGGTTCATGAGTGCAGTTTGTATGGAGATCCATGGTGATGCTCGTCAGAGCTACAGTTCATGCTTTCTGTGATATTGAGAGATAGAACCCAGTGTGGTGAAATGGAGCCTCTGGCCTGTATTGTTCTTATCTCCACACAGTTATATTTTTACCCTGTATATATCTCACTTGTACCTTGATATCACACAGCTTGGTAACACGCTGCCCCTCCAGACCCTGATCCAGTCTGGCCAGACACTCACGGGGCAGACCCTTTATGGCGGCCAGGGCGCAGGTTTGTTTCCAGCTCAAGGATCGGTGCACATAGAGAACCCCAAAGTTGTCAATGTCAACTTTGGACCACATGTGATCGGCTCTGACGGCGGTGGACAGCAGGCCATTTTTCAGGTCAGTTGAGATGTTTCTCAGTTTACAGGTGGCAGGATTACCTGTCATCATCATCACTATCTAATACAGTTTTTTTTCAACCTGAAGTTTCTAAATCAGGGCTTTTCATTTAAGTTTACTCAGGGAGTAAAATGTTGAATATAGGGATTGTCAAAACGGTGAGGAGAGGACAAGGGGTATAAAAGAGGGTATAACATAAATTTGCACTAGTACAAATAGATTTTTAATTTTTATTTGGGACAAGTTCTTTTTTTCTTCTTATCGTTTGCCAGCTGTAAACTGTAAAAAAGCAGAACATTCCAGAACTTGAGTTTTGCTTGAACCAGTTTCAGAGCTGGCATACTTGTCTGTAGACTTTTGGTTCTAGACTTTGAGACAGATTTACTTATAACTCAAAAGAAACTCCTTTAATTATCACTAGTTGCGGGAAGGGAGGCAGACAATTGACCACAAACCCCCATCCCATTCCTAATGGGGCTTCAGGATCCACACAAGTTGTTTTAGAGATCTTTTACAGCAGCTTTGTTTTGTTCCAATTTTAGCCACATCTGTTGGTTTATTATATGTCATTTGAAGTTTTACGCTTTATCCATCAATGGACAGTGGGCTCTCAACCAACTCAAGTTATCTTGTCCTTTTTTATCGCATGCAACTCGCTCCATTTCCACCCTATCGTTATTCACCTGTTTTAGAAAGGTGATCATTTTGTTCATGTTCTTCTTCTTCTTTGCTTTCCCCAGCTGTAAACTCTGACGGAAAGTTCTGGTTGTTCATCCACTTCCGAACTGCAGTCCTATTCCAGAACTTGAGTGTTGCGTGTGCATCTGTTTTACAGAAGCTCCCAGTTAGTCGACTCTTACGACATGCTTTTGAGTAGGCAGTGGGTCTATTCTTGTTTTTCCTATAATAGGGCCCCGGAAACCCACACGGGGATTATTTTGTTCTAAAATGCCTAAGCTAGATCCAGAACACCAAAGACCGAGATCTGTGTCGACACATGAACGCCTACGCCAGCTGGCAAGGCGCTTGATGATGATGATGATGAATTCTGTATCTCTGTAATGTTTCCTTGTTGCAGACTGCTGAAGGCAAAAGGGTCTTGATCACAAACTCACAGCTGCAACATATGTCTCAGGTAAGGATGTCTGTGGTCTTCTTCTCTTGTACACACTGACTATTACTCTATCCCCCATGTGAAAACAAGAATGGATCCACTGGCTCCCAAACAAGAATGCCCTAAAAGTTGACTAATCAGGGGCTTGCTGGAATGGGATTATAGGGCTGAAAAACGCAGACATCTCAGCCTCCTGTGAACCACATTATACCAAACTGCTATTTAAACGTTGAATGCAAAAGAAGTAGTATTGTAAATCAGGGCTTTTTATCTAAGTTTACATAGGAGGTAAAATGGGGAATATGGGATCTGCAAGAGTCAGATGTTCGAGCCCTGCTATAGAAAGATCATTGGTACATATTACAATTAATAATGCTGTGAGGCCCGCCAGTTGAAAATCTGTGCTCTGAATAGTGAGTGGACAAAGTGTGGTTGCCGTTACTTTGCTAGAATAGAAGTTGTCACTTTTAGACAGCATTCCCAGCTTTGGGTATAATTGTGACTAGGTTATGTGCGCCATATAAACTGCATGCCACCAAGAACCCTGTTGGTTTAACCTGACTTTCGCGGTGGCCGGGTGACGAACTCCTTGTGGTCCGGGTTCACTCCCGGGGGTAGGCAGAAAAGCCACATTTCTTCCAGATTAACGGTACCTATAATGGAATCAATGCCGAAGGGTTGCGATATCCATTGTACCGAGCCAAAGGGTTTACAACTCATGGTTTCTGGATACGTTAAAAAAAAAAAACACCCCCCCCCCCCACCTCCCGATAAGGACTCCTGCAATGTTGAGGCGATCAAAGGAGACAGGCCCAATTACTGTCCTGACTGGCGATGAAGACGTCTACTGGCGAACCAATTTGGGGGAGGGGGGTGTATGTATATCATGACAGTAGTGCCAGACTTTCCCCCCCTTCTCTAATGTCATCTTCGTCACCTTTCCCTGTCCATGCATTATTATATATGCACATCTATCATGTGAAACAGTGTCAACATTTGTGATAGAATCTGGACTGTTGTGTGCACTTAAAACATGAATAGTAAACATCTAACTGCAGTAGAAATAGGGTTTTTGGGGACGTAGAGAATATCATGGGTAGATAAAGAAGCAAATAAGACAACCCTTCAAGAAACATGTGAACTGTATAGTTGTTGGTGATCGTGTGGTGCATCCTTAAATTCTAGAGCTCACACTTCTTCCGCCAAACCACTCGAGAAAATGTAGCAGTAACAACAGAGTTCAACAGTTAGATATATTTTTGTTGCTTGTTTCTTCATAATAGCAAGAGTTGCATAATACTATCAGCCGCCCTATGGCCCCGTGTTATTGGCTTCAAGCTGTCTGAGGAGAGTGGAATCACTGCATAATACTTCTTCTGCTGCTGCTTCTTCTTCTTATTATTATTGTTGTAAACTCAGGACTAAAAGCTCTGGTTGTTCTTCCACTTCTGGACTTTAATCTTGTTCTGAAACTTGAATTTTGCATCACACACCCGGTTGATAAATCTGGCTTATTTCTATGCAGACTTTTGGTTTCTCGTCTCTCTGGCAGGTGTACTCCAGCTTTAAAGGAAAACCCACTTGATTGGTCAGCTTGTTGACTTTTATGACATGCTGGTTAGGGAGCCAGTGGGTCTCTCTCTCCCCCCCCCCCCCCCCCCCCTCCCCCCCAACAGTGGCTCCCTGGAACCCTCACACAGAGATTGGGTGAAGGGTTTTAGTCTATACTTGGTTTGTCTCTACCAGGATGTCTGCTTTGAGTTTCTTGTCATTGTATTAAACAAACATTGAATGTTTTTGTTTGCATTGTGTCAACAGATTCACATATCAAGAATATTCACAAATATTGAGTAATGTTTGTTTTTATATTTTTTTCTTTTTTTAAAAAGAAGCATTCATGTTTTTTATTTTTGTTTGTTCGTTCATTGTTTGGTTCAGTTTTATTTCTTTTAAGAAATATTTTTGTATTTCTTTCAAGAAATATATTTTACTTTTCCAGTCCTATCTTAAATATTTCAATGAACATTTTTAAATTTTTGTATCCCAAGAAAATTCTGGAATGTTAAGTTTTCTCAGTTAATTTTCCATAGCTTCAAGAAACATTTATATTTATGAATTTTAGTTGTCAGTTTATTTTTGGCTTGTTTAGTTTTCATTGATTCAAGGTATATAAAAATTTTTTTAAAAACATTTATAGTTCTTTTATTTTCAGAAATTTTTTATAATGTCTTATTGTTGGTTATATTTGTGTATTTTTGTTTTAACACTAGCGTTAGCTTGTTTTTCAACTTTTAAATCTATACTGCTGTTGGGTTTATTTGTTTTTGAAAGATGGGGAAATATGTGGATGGACAGCTTAATTGGTTTATATAAAACAATTGACACATTTGGCGGAGCTTCGCCGTCTTTCCTGTGTGAAGAAAAAGTATGTTCTATTGTAGCTGGAAGCACCCAAAAAAAATCATCTAAACTCTTTTAGTCCAAGAAGATTTGTATGCAGTTGCCTAAGAGGGGTGTTAGATAACATGAAAAAGAAAGTTTGAATACATTACTCTCAAACAGGCATATACTGTGCAAGATTTCTTTAGAACGTTCATGGAAAGATGGAAAGAGTTATACAGGATAGATCTTGTAAGTGCAGAATTTGTAAAACAAGAGTTATGTCCTTCAGGTTGAATCACTAACTGACCAGAGGGTTCGAATCTTTCCACAGTCCATCAGCTTGACTCAGCCGCTTATGGGCACACAGCTGATTAACACTGGAGGAGGCAACGTGATTCGAGCCAGCCTGGCGCCTGGTACTCACACCATCATGCCATCAGGAGGCACCGCCTCTCGACAGATTGTATTACCATCTGGCCACACTATGATCCCCCAGCAGGGCAACACTGGAACCAGTGGCATGGCCAAGAATGTTGTGCTCAGACAGTTGAATCATCCTAACATGTCGTCCGTTATTGTAAGTATTCTTGTGATTGTCCGTATTCTTCTTCTTCTCAAAGTCCATGCTGTGTGGTGTTGGTAGTCATGCCTATCCATAACCTTCTGTCTTGTGTACATTCAGTCAACTCTGGCACAGATGATCCTCTATGCCATGATGTCACACTGTCCACCATCTTTTCTTTTGGTCTCCCTCTGCCTCTCCTCTCCTCCCCCCCCCCCCCTTTCTAACTTTCCTGTTGTCACAATGTGCTCCAGTTTTTTTCTTCTCATCACATGAACATAGAATTAGATTGTCTCTTTCTGATGTTGGCGGTTAGTTCTCTGTGTGCGTCAATTTATTTCAAGACATCTTCATTTTTCTTATCTGACTAGGGTATTCTCATAATTTCTCTGTAAAACCACATCTCAGCAGCTTCCAAGTGTTAACGAATAGACCATCTGGACTAATCATTTATATTTTAGGCTAAGTGTCGCAGCCACATGCTCAGTCTGTATACAAGATTATGAGAGAGGTGTGTGGGAAATGCTTGAGGCGTTTAATGTTGACCTTTGTGGCATTTGTCACCACATATATCTGCAGGATGAAGGTAGAAGACAAATTATCAGCAGTATGGGGGGGGGGGGGGGGGGGGGGGGGGGGGGGGGGGGGGGGGTGGGGGGGGGGGGGGGGGGGGGGGGGGGGGGGGGGGGGGGGGGGGGGGGGGGAAGACAGTAATAAAGATGTTCACATGATAGCAGTGTATGCTACATTTAATTAAAAGATTAAGACCATTACAGGAAGAAGCCCAGATGGGATATAGAGGAAGCTTCCCAGAGCCATTATTTACATTAAGACAGCTCTCAGAAATATATATCATAAACAAATAGACATGTATTGGTTGGCACTCGTGAAAAGAAGTAGAAAGAAAGACGCACTAGTCAACATGAGAAACTAAAACCATAGTTACCTTATTATGTTTGTATACTTCAGTTTTATATATTATATTGCGCATGGGCATTTACAGCACGCTCAGCGGGCAGAACAGTCAAAGAAGCCAACGGTGCCTTCTCCATGACAACCAGCAGCATGACGATGGAAGTGATGGCAGTGACACAAGCGCTTGCCTGGCTTGAAACACAAAAATACACCCGCGTGTGTATACTCAGTGATTCAATGAGTATGATCCGGAGGGTTCAGGCAGGTTCAGTGCGAAGACAATGGCTTGAATCATTACAGAAGTCCACTGTTCGTGGAGTCACCTTTATTTTTGTTCCGGGACACGCAGGCGTCAATGGAAATGAAAGAGCTGACAGGTTGGCTGGATCCGCTATCACTACCGACGGTCAGCCTATGGATCATGCTGATATTATCAATGCCCTCAGAGAAATGGGAAGAATAGAGGACTTTGGTGGCAGTGAATCCACATCACTCGCCAGAATGGCAGACTTGGGAATTAAGATCGGCACAGCAAAAAACGAGACGCACACCAGCTACGCCAGAAGACTTGTTAATCAACATAGAACTGGTACTATTAGCCATCGGACGTTGGGGTTCATACTGAGGGGAGGATCTGAGCACCTATGGACATGTCCGGAGTGCAATGAGGATAACCCAACTAACTAACTAACTAACTAATATTATATTGTCTATTAAAGTTTGTTTGTTTATTATATATACTGTTTCTACAACCTCAAGGGTTTCCTATTTCTGCCTGTATTGCGAGCATATGTATGAAAAGACCTGCAAAAAAAGAATAAATAAGTTCTTTGTTTATTCTGTTTTACCGAACCTAACTGCATATGTTCTCTTGGTACTATTTTGTTCATATAGTTAAGTTTTCTTATTTGTGTTGGCAGCATATGTTTACAGTTGCTGTGTTCTGTTTTAGTTCATTTAGTTAAGTTTTCTGATATGCATTAGCCCTATATGTTAACAGTAACTCTCTGTTCTGTTTTAGTTCATTTAGTTAAGTTTTCTGATATGCATTGGCCCCATATGTTTACAGAAACTCTCTGTTCTATTTAAGCTCTTATACTTCGGCTTCTTCTTCTTTGTTCACCGGCTGTAAGCTCTGATGGAAAATCCTGTATGTCTTTACGGCTTTATGTACGTCCCACTCACTATTTTATGAAATATGTTTGATCGTTTGTGATGTAGCTGATGATGGTATGTATAGTTTGTTCACATCCATCTTTAGTATCAGAGTGGACAAGGGGGTCAACTGATCCACTCACAGCCAACCTTGATATCGTCTGGCTCTGGGCTGCAGGTGGTCAACACAGCTGGGGGTCATGGCAACCAAGTACAGCTGATAGCACAGCCTTCACTCAATCAGGGTGGCATTGGTCAACAGCAGGTAACTTCCTCTCTGTTTTTTGCCTGGCTAGTTGACTATCAGGGTAGGTGTAGTGACTAATTGCTGACCTCTAGTGTAAAGGTGGGGTGGGGAAGGTTAGGTGTTTTGGCATAAGACTGACTACCTGATCCTGTAGATGAGGGCTGGAGAATAAAACTGACTACCTGATCTTGTAGAAGAGGGCTGGAGAATAAGACTGAATACCTGATCTTGTAGATGAGGGCTGGAGAATAAGGCTGAATACCTGATCCTGTAGATGAGGGCTGGAGAATAAGACTGAATACCTGATCTTGTAGATGAGGGCTGGAGAATAAGGCTGAATACCAGATCCTGTAGATGAGGGCTGGAGAATAAGACTGAATACCTGATCCTGTAGATGAGGGCTGGAGAATAAGGCTGAATACCTGATCCTGTAGATGAAGGCTGGAGAATAAGACTTTTTTTAATCGAAATCTTTTGTTGTTGGTGACACTTCGACAGTGGTGCGAGAGTCACACCCTAGAAGAGATTGGGGCCTCACTACATAATATTCCTAAAGTTAGCAGTTTGTGCAGTACAGCAACCTTGGTTGTGGAGATAGCACACAGTTACGATTGTTTGTTAATAAATCTTGCTTGGATTTGTTTTGATGTCTTAATGTTGTTTCCTTTTTAGGGCACAGTGATGAATCTGATCAACAACTCCGGCAACGGTAACCAGATCACTGGGCTGATGCCTGGCCAGAATATCTTTGTCAATGGTCAGGTTCTAAGCATTGGTCAGCTTGGTAGCTTAGGTGTGCCCCAACTTCAGGTACAGCAAAACTCCCAAGGCGGAATGACTCTGGCTGACATCAATGCCCAGTTCCAGTCCTCAGCTCCTCATTTGGTGATCCAGCAAGGTGGTCAACAGCAGCAGATTGTCCTACAGCCAAAGAACAACCCTTCACCTTCCTTCATGACTAATGCTGTTTTATCCCACAGATTTATTTCTGGCCTCCCAGGTAATAAGACGGCTCGAACGCCGACTCCAAATGCCAGTTCAGCTTCATCCACACCGGTCATGACCCCAACGCCGTCCACCCCAACGCCAACTCCGACACCGGAACTCATTGCTGACTTCACAGGGGGTAAAAGTAGTCAGAGCATTGACATTTTTAAGCAGGCGCTGGACATGTCCGACATTGACTTGCAATCCTTTGAGGATGATATCAGCTTTTTGGATGATACTGCAGGCTGCTTTTCATCGATCACCCCTCAGCCGGCTCCACAGACACCGGCACCACCAGTCAAACCAGCCATTAAGCCTGCTAAAAGTAAATCAAAAGCATCAAAGTCAAGATCGAAAAATGTTCAGCCAGTGGTGAATGTGACTTTACACAACAGCATTCTGTCCATGCAGAATCCGCAGGAACAAAACGTCACTCTGAATCCGCAGCAAAGAATTGTTACTGCGAATGGGCAGGTGTATGTCCTGTCTGGCAACAATTTTGTTCTTCAGCAATCTGCCAGCTCGGCTAGTCAGATCACTTCTCACATTACACCAGTTTCGTCTGTAGCATCGATTGCGACTGCCACAAATCGCACACAGATGAGTGTCTCCCCTGGTTACCATTTAGACTCGAAAGGACACATACAACAGGGCCCAAACCCAGCCACTTACCAGAACCTCACTCTGCCCAGGCAAATAAAAGTTGAGCCTAACACCGTCCCAGTCAGCCTGGGACAGAACAGTGTCTTCTCATTTTCCGAGTCTGACAGAAAGACTTTCATCAAGGCAAGTCCTGGGGGTTGTGCAGATTTCACAGTGACATCTTCTGCACCTGCGTCTGCTGCCAGGTATAATACTTACACAACAGTCAGCTTCATTAGCTCCCAGCCTACCATTTCTCCGAGCTCAGCAGATTCCAACCAGATGCAGAGTATGCAGCTGAAGAACCAGAAGATCTCAACTCTGGGTGGTACTTTTATTAAACAGACACCAATAAGTTCTGTGATTAAACAAGAGAATCTTACAGACTTTAACCAGCCGGTTTCAAATTTCCAGTCATTTTCCTTGCCGGTTTCAAACTTCCAGACTTTTAACCAGGCTGTTTCAGGCGTACAGTCTTTTAACCATTCGGCGCTATCACACATCCAGTCCTCACCACATATGGCAGCATCAGCAACCACTCCTACGACATCCTACCCTAGCCCCACCTCCAGCTTCAGTGCAGTGTCATCGCCTGTAGTCATTTCATCAGCATCATTCTCAGCGGTGGTCACAACCACTACACAGTCTCACCAGATGACCATCATGAGCACATCACACATGGCCAGCAGTCAGCAGGGCTTAGTCTCCACCACAAACTCCTACCAGCCGCATTTGTCTGCGTTCAGCGATGCTTCATGTTTACCGCTGAATTCTGAAGGTCACCCTCAGAACCCCTCACCTGGACTGCTGCATAACACCACCTCCACACTTCCTCCTCACCTCATAGGACGATCAGTGAGTATACGTTTCATCACCTTACTCCTTTCCTTGTATTTTGCCAATCACTTAATTTTTGTTTTAATTACACAAACATTTTGCACAAGATATTTTATGATTGTTACCGTTCGAGAGTTGAATGATGATTCTCATTTTATTATGACCGTACATGAAGCAAAACGTGTCATCCAAAGGGGGAAAAAGCGGCATTCATCTATGCCCTGGCAAAATTGCAGCATTGCACAATCAGCAGACAAGTAACCCACAGCTGTGTTTAGCTAGTTAGAAGCAATATATTAATGACTGTTCCACAATGAGATATGCAGAGGCAACTCCATTTGTTTGTTAAAATGTGAAACTCACTGAATCAGTACAAAAGGGAATTAATTACATTGCTGTATCAGTACAAAAGGCAATTACTTAAAAAAAAAAAAACATATCTCATGTCTTTTGTTAATTTAAAAAAAACATACCTAGTTCTCATTGTTAAATTGTTGGATACTGTGTTTTATCCATGGCCTTATCACGGCTATTCCCCAAATAGCTATTTCAGAACGCTCTATCGTTCACATTCAGTTGCTTTGTTAAGAAGACCGATACATCTTGTAAATTTTCTTAATTTCGTTTGCCTTTTTTACGTGCATAATTATTGCTGCCCTTTCACAGTGTCAGCTAGGCTAGATGTCAACATTCCCTGTGTGGGTGTCAGCTAGGCTAGATGTCAACATTCCCTGTGTGGGTGTCAGCTAGGCTAGATGTCAACATTCCCTGTGTGGGTGTCAGCTAGGCTAGATGTCAACATTCCCTGTGTGAGTGTCAGCTAGGCTAGATGCCAACATTCCCTGTGTGGGTGTCAGCTAGGCTAGATGTCAACATTCCCTGTGTGGGTGTCAGCTAGGCTAGATGTCAACATTCCATGTGTGGGTGTCAGCTAGGCTAGATGTCAACATTCCATGTGTGGGTGTCAGCTAGGCTAGATGCCAACATTCCCTGTGTGGGTGTCAGCTAGGCTAGATGTCAACATTCCCTGTGTGGGTGTCAGCTAGGCTAGATGTCAACATTCCCTGTGTGGGTGTCAGCTAGGCTAGATGTCAACATTCCCTGTGTGGGTGTCAGCTAGGCTAGATGTCAACATTCCCTGTGTGGGTGTCAGCTAGGCTAGATGTCAACATTCCATGTGTGGGTGTCAGCTAGGCTAGATGCCAACATTCCCTGTGTGGGTGTCAGCTAGGCTAGATGTCAACATTCCCTGTGTGGGTGTCAGCTAGGCTAGATGTCAACATTCCATGTGTGGGTGTCAGCTAGGCTAGATGTCAACATTCCCTGTGTGGGTGTCAGCTAGGCTAGATGTCAACATTCCATGTGTGGGTGTCAGCTAGGCTAGATGTCAACATTCCATGTGTGGGTGTCAGCTAGGCTAGATGTCAACATTCCCTGTGTGGGTGTCAGCTAGGCTAGATGTCAACATTCCATGTGTGGGTTTCAGCTAGGCTAGATGTCAACATTCCCTGTGTGGGTGTCAGCTAGGCTAGATGTCAACATTCCCTGTGTGGGTGTCAGCTAGGCTAGATGTCAACATTCCATGTGTGGGTGTCAGCTAGGCTAGATGTCAACATTCCCTGTGTGGGTGTCAGCTAGGCTAGATGTCAACATTCACTGTGTGGGTTCCGGATTTATTCGAGCGGGAAAATACATTCAAATACTGACTGTCCTGTTGTTTGATGTACCCGAGTTTTCCATTTCTCGCGACAGGCTGAAAGAGCTCAGATTGTTTACTTCTAATGAGGGTAATCAGTTCTCTTTGTGGGTGGACTTTGTTTAAAACATCATTATACTTCTTTAGTCACTTCATAGTGTTCTCATAATTCTTCTGCAAATCCACATCTCTGCTGCTTCCACTTAATTATAACATTTCATTTGAGTTGTTGGAAATGTTTATTTGCAGAATAGTAGCTTGTATTTCTTAGCCAACAAGTTTATTTTATTTTAGATGAAAACCATTTTTATAGATAAAATATGCGCTACTTGACTACAGTGTTTATTTAAACACAGATATGTGTGAGCACTAAGAAAATATTGTGAAGATGGTACTTGTTTGATTGTTTTGACAAACTTTTTTTTCTTCTAGGAACCCGCTTTTGTTGTTGTTGTTCTTCTTTGTTCTAAGCCCTTGAGGCTTATTGCTGCAGATATTATTTGTGTTGTTCTAGCTGCTTTTATTATTGATCCTAGTTTTTTTTCCATATGTGTAGCTAATGGTGCGAAATGAGCGCCTTCACTTCACCTGCTTTCTTGTCACTGTGTTATATAATTTTTTATTTTTTTGTGTGTGGGTGCTTACTGCGTTGTACAAGGTATTTAAAGAAAGAAAGAAAATAACAGGTTTTTGAAGTTGTATAGTTTTGATAAGGAAACGCACACAACCTGGCAACTTAATAATGTTAAGGCAGAGCAGAGACCAGGCCTCAGCTGTGGCTGGCAGCCGATCTAGGAGACAAGCAGTCAGAATCAGACCAACAGAACACTGCTCTTCTAATCCAGCAGATTTGTCCCAAATGTATCGATGTTACCTTCTCTTTGGAGTTAACAAAGCCAGCTGAGAGAGTGATCATGGACAGCACATGGGCTCTACAATACTGCCCAGGTTTTATGCCACAGGGAGTAGGAATTTCATTCCTAGCCTTAATTGGTATCGACATCGGCAGAGATTAGCATAATTCATGCGCAATTGGTGTAGAAAGGGATCCTTGCTTTGTACTGTTCTTTCCAAGTATATAAAAACTTTTATAGAAACTATATTCTTTGATTTCCTTTTTTGATGTTTTGTTAAAGAGCACTGTCGTTGCCCATAGACATCTGTATAATGGTCTCAGTATCCTGCGTTAAACCATCTCAGCACAATGCACAAACTCTAGCACCAGCAGTGATCTGTGTGAAGCGTGTATTGTGTCACTGGCCACCCTTTTTTGCTTAGCCTTGTGTTGTTGCTTTATTGTCACTTGAGAAGTAGCCCGTGGTTGTTTTGTATTCTTCTAGAGCTCAAAGGAGAGAGATCCAGCGTCTGTTAAGACAATGATCCCCATCAGGGTAAGTTGAACTGATAATCTTCGTAGGTTATTTACATCACCCGGAGACCCGAGTTCAGAACCTCAGTAAAATTGTGGATTTTTTCTGTTACGAACAAAAAATTGAACCCTAACCTGCGTGCTCCGTGGCGACAGCACCAGTCATGCGGACCTAATACCTCAGACTCAAAGGACCCCCAACACAGTACAAGTGATAAATAGAGGGAGTAAAGGCAGTTTTTTTTTCTTCGTACAAAGCTTGGAGCAGCGGTATCATCGCCACTTGGTGCTCGCCTTGGGTTCAAATCTTCACAGGGCAGATTTGAGAAAGAAAATGAACTTGGTTTGCAGGTCAGCCCTTCCTCAAATGGATAATAGGGAGTATCTGGGAAGTCAAGGTGGATGACATGATAATGACTTCACCTGTCATGGGCTGATTGGTCTTTACAAATATGTGAATTCTAGGACCCCATTTTTGGGGAGACAAGAAAAGACCCACTTCTTCCCTGATAAGCATGTCATAAAATATGTCCGATTTCAGCACACCCTTAATTTGTTACCTTTTAGGCCTAATTGTTAAGGGACAGTGGGTGGGTCTATACCCCTCCCGAACCCGCACAGGGAACTTTTGTTTTTGAAATTGTGGCTTTCTTGTTTTACACCATTAGATGTATGTGTTCTTATACTTGTTTGTTTTTTGTCAGATACCAATATGCTTTTTTTGTTTTGTTTTACTTGGTCTCTTATTTATTGTTTATTTCACTTATTTTTTTTTCTTCAGATCACCTATAGTATGCTGGAGTTGTTTTATATTGAAGCTTTTTATTATCTATTTTTTAAATTCAGTTTGATTCACTAGTTGATGGAAGAGTCGATGTGGTAGTTAGGTGTGTAGCTGTGATATTGTTTAGTTGATGTGGTAGTTAGGTGTGTAGCTGTGATATTGTTTAGTTGACGTGGCAGTTGAATGTGTAGCTGTGATATTGTTGAGGAAGGAATTAACACAGTGAGAGGTAAGTTTTGTACAGGTACACACAAATATGTGGGCCAAAGTCTTCAGCAAATAAAACAACAGGAATCCCAAGCCACAAATGGGAGAGTCCGCTTGTACTACCTGTATGTACCAGAGTTTACGACAGTGTTAGACATGGGCTTTGAGCCTAAGGATTTAGGGCCACATGAACTCCGTGTGGATTCTCTGATCCCATTGTGAGGGAAACAAGAATAGACCCGCTGCCTCCTCAACAAGCACGCCACAAGTGTCAACTAATTGGGAGCTTCCTTCAAGGTCCGAGTGCATTTGCTTGCCTAAGAGGCAAGAAACCAGTTGTCGGCATACAGATAATTCAGATATGTAAGACGGATGTGCACGCAACACTCCGGTTCTGGAACAAGACTCAAGTCCAGGGGTGGATGAACAAGCAGAGCTTTCTGCCAAAGTTAACAGCCGGTGAACACAAAGAAGATAAAGGGCCACATGGCTGGTGCAGTTCCAATCCACATTGAGTCTGATGTTTTCAGTTGACCTTGGTTCCCTGGTTGACCTAGCCAAAAATGAGTACCAGATAATGTCCTGGGAAGTCAAGGTGGCTGGCATATCGATGGCATGGTTTATCAAGTGCCAGTTAGTCTATGAAATATGAGTCCAGCATCATATGCTGGATTGAAACAGTTCTTTGCTTGACTTGTTTCTGAATTCATTTCTTGATATTAGCTAGGCGGCAGTCCCCACTGTTTCAGCACCTTTTTTTGGTTATATTGATGTTTTCTCTGTTTGTGTAGCTTCGCTATTGTTGATGCTATGTTTAAATGTTGCTTTGCTATTGCTGAGTTGATGTTTGAATGGGTTTGCTCTTAGATTGCCGACTGCACCCTGATGCTGAGTCTTACACCCGGAGAGAAGGAGCGGCTGGAGAGTAAGCTCTCCCAGATGAGTAAGAAAGATCAGGAAGAGTTTCTTATGCACCAGCAAGGTTTGATCAGGCGCTCCCACCAGATGCAGGTGGAGCAGCAGCTAAAGCAACAACAGCAGAAACAGATGTTGCAGCCAAAACACCCACAGCCGCAGGATTTCCAGCAGCAGGAACCGTCACAGCCACAGAAACAAACCCCACAGATGATGCAATACCTGCCGTCACCTCGCCTGGATCAGCAACAGCCGCAGTTGTCGCATGCGGAGAGCTACTCCCCAGTTGCCAGGTTGGCTCAGTCCACCCAGGGGAATGGTCTTCCTGAGTTGATGTCGCCACAAATGTCCCTGGGACTACCAACCACAGTGCAGGCGCGTGTTTGTTGTTTTTCTTGTTGTAATGTTTTGTTGTTCATATCTGAGCACTATGTTTTGAACTACTGTAATGAAAATATGAGAAAAGTTTCTTCTCAGGTTGTAGCCTCCCAGAAAAGAAATTGGTAAAATTCAGAATGATTAAATGGTTCTTCTTCAAACTTTATGCAAATTTGGAATGGTTTATGTTTAAGTAACAAAACAGGAGTAATGGAAAATGGCATAGTTTGTCATTTCATTTTTATGATTTCAAATAATATACCAGAGGAGATCATAGCCAAGGGGCTAAAATGGCGGGCTGTCATGTGGGATTCATGGGTTCAACCCCTGGTAAGGTGTTTTTCTGTCGAGGAAACATTTAACATGCTAAACTGCACACTCCGTGGCGACAGCACTAGCCTTGCGGCCCTAAATCATCAGGGTTACAAAACCCCCCTGTCTACACCATCCTAAAAAGTTTAAAAACAGACGGTAGTAACATAAAAAAAAAAAAAAGTAATTATCATATTTTGCAATGCATAAGTTGAGTTTTTCGAGTTTACAAGCCTAAAATACCTTTCAAAACTGGGGGGTAATTTTAATGCCAGGTGTAAAATGTTTTGAATAGCCTAACTGGCTAAAGAATCTACTTCTGCGCCGCACTGACTTTTTGCCATGGTTTAAGGATAGTGTATGTTGTGAGAAGTGATATTTCGCAGTCTTTAAATAACTTCCTTATGAAAAGTTACACATCGATAATTTGAGCACAATGTTTGCTAGAGTGTTATTATGCGTGATAAGGAATACTTGAGTGAATTAGATGATAAAAAGTACTTTGTGAATTAGATAGTAGAGAATACTTGGGTGAATCAGAAGCAGATGGAAAATAAGGATTTGGGTGGAGATAAAGCTTGATTAAATTAGGAGAGGAGTACTTGAACGAATTGAAAGGATCACTTGAGTGAATTAAGTGAACATGAATGCTTCAGTGAATTAGAAAACAATAAAAATTGCACAGAGATGGAGAGGGCTTGGGTGAGTTATACAGATAGGAGAGTTTGAGTGAGTTATACAAATAGGAGAGGGCTTGAGTGAGTTATACAGATGGGAGAGGGCTTGAGTGAGTTATACAGATGGAGAGTGCTTGAGTGAGTTATACAGATGGAGAGTGCTTGAGTCAGTTATACAGAGATGCGGAGGGCTTGGGTGAGATACATAGAGATGAAGAAGGCATGAGTGAGTTATAAAGAGATAGAAAATGCTAGAATGGGATGGAAATAAATGAGTTAAAGGAAAACATCAGACTTCTCATCTTGGTGTGTTTCTGTGTGCTGATCCAGCTTTGGTCTTCATTGACTTTGACTCGTGTTTGTACTTTTCTCTAAACAGGAACTCATGGAAAAACCTGAGGCAGAGCAACAGATAAGCTTGCAGCCATTTTCCTCTCAGAAGCCTACAGATCCGTCACAGCAGCTTCACCATGCACCATCCCCTCAGCAGCAGCAGCAGCAGCAGCAAATGTACCAGAACCTTCAACAGAGAACTGTATCCTTGCCTCAGACTTGTGGCCCTGTACAAACGTTTGGGGTCGCTCAAATAGGACGTTGCTTGTGAGTTAAAGATCTCCGTTTTTGTCTTTTCTTGCAGTTTCTTCTTTTTAGAGATGTTTAATGGAAGCCAAATATGATTTTGCTCAGTTCTCAAGATAGGGCACTCTCACTCCTTCAGATAGACTTATGGGGGGCAGTCTCTCCGTAAGATGGGCTGCGCTGTATGGGGCACACTGTCTCTTTCAGATAGACTGTATGGGGCACACTGTCTCTTTCAGATAGGCTGTATGGGGCACACTGTCTCTTTCAGATAGGCTGTATGGGGCACACTGTCTCCTTCAGATAGACTGGATGGGGGGCAGTCTCTCCGTAAGATGGGCTGGGCTGTATGGGGCACACTGTCTCCTAGATAGAATGTATGAGGCAGACTTTCTCTCTTTCAGATAGGCTGTATGGGGCACACTGTCTCCTTCAGATAGACTTATGGGGGGCAGTCTCTCCGTAAGATGGGCTGGGCTGAATGGGGCACACTGTCTCCTTCAGATAGAATGTATGGGGCAGACTTTCTTTCAGATAGGCTGAATGGGGCACACTGTCTCCTTCAGATAGACTGTATGGGGGGCAGTCTCTCCGTAAGATGGGCTGCGCTGTATGGGGCACACTGTCTCTTTCAGATAGACTTTATGGGGCACACTGTCTCTTTCAGATAGGCTGTATGGGGCACACTGTCTCCTTCAGATAGACTATATGGGGGGCAGTCTCTCCGTAAGATGGGCTGGGCTGTATGGGGCACAGTCTCCTAGATAGAATGTATGGGGCAGACTTTCTCTCTTTCAGACAGGCTGTATGGGGCACACTGTCTCCTTCAGATAGACTTATGGGGGGCAGTCTCTCCGTAAGATGGGCTGGGCTGAATGGGGCACACTGTCTCCTTCAGATAGGGGGGGGGGGGGGGCAGTCTCTCTGTAAGATGGGCTGTATGGGGCACACTGTCTCCTTCAGATAGACTGTATGGGGGGCAGTCTCTCCGTAAGATGGGCTGCGCTGTATGGGGCACACTGTCTCTTTCAGATAGACTGTATGGGGCACAATGTCTCCTTCAGATAGACTGTATGGGGCACACTGTTTTCTTCAGGTAGACTGTATGGGGCACACTCTCTTCTTCAGGTAGACTGTATGGGGCACACTCTCTTCTTCAGGTAGACTGTACGGGGCACACTCTCTTCTTCAGGTAGACTGTATGGGGCACACTCTCTTCTTCAGGTAGACTGTACGAGGCACACTCTCTTCTTCAGGGAGACTGTATGGGGCACACTCTTTTTCAGGTATACTGTTCGGGGCACACTCTCTTCTTCAGGTAGGTAGACTGTATGGGGCACACTCTTATTCAGGTAGACTGTATGGGGCAAACTCTCTTTTTCAGGTAGACTGTATGGGGTACACTCTCTTCTTCAGGTAGACTGTATGGGGCACACTCTCTTCTTCAGGGAGACTTATGGGGCACACTCTCTTCTTCAGGGAGACTGTATGGGTTACATGATCTCTCCTCTACAAATGGTGCACTCACATTTATGTAGATAGGCTACATGTATCAGCTGCAGTTGTTCTGTGCATATGGGACTTGTGAGTCTGACTACAGCATTATACTTAGTGATTGACTTGCTACAAAAAGGCTATCCACAAACCGTGTAACATTTATGTCTCACAGACTTTCTGACATATGTACAGTTTTTCATCACAAAGTCTGCAACTACCAGGTATCACAGATTATGACTGTCATTAAGACTGACTATACTGGTATCTGTTTTGGTGCTCACAGATGACAGCTGGCTTTTGTTAGCAAAATAATGGCCATATGATCAAATAACGATTGCTGTTTTCTTGCCAGGGCAGAGCAGCAGTTACTGCGAGACCGCAGCCTGGCAATGGAGCCAGATGTTAGCACTCCCTTCAAGAGCTTCTCTGATGCCATGAGGAGGCTGGTTCGATACCACACTCTACAGGATCACAAACCTGATGAAGGCAGTAAGGCTCATAAGATCTGTAAGTATTCCCAGAGTCTTATTTGCTTTATTCCTTCACTTGTCTGTGGTATCCGTGGTGTTACCTTTTCTTTAAAGTTAACAAGACAGACAAGAGGGGAATCCTGCTTTATGGGCAGCACATAATCTCCACAATAATGCCCAGGCTTTGTGCTATGGAGAGACATTTCTACCCTGGCATTGATTGGTATCCCTATGGGCTTTGATTCCTAGGCCATACTGGAGCACAGTGTTGCTGGGCATTTGCTTTTCCTGGGTGATGATTGGGCCCGGTCTCAGTAAGAATGGGGCCCGGTCTGTGTGAGGATGAGGCCTGGCCTGTGTGAGGGTGGGGCCCAGTCTGTGTGAGGATCGGACCCAGTCTGTATGAGGATCAGGCCCAGTCTGTGTGAGATTTGCAGCCAGCAAGGGAGTGTGAGATATTGCCACCGTTCTCACTGTAATCTTGTCTCATGTTCTCTGTAGCTTTATTGATTTTTCTTCCACTTCATCTTTTCTTCCTTGTCTTGGGATGTGGGGAGGGGGTGTTTCTTTTATTTTCCCTCCTTTTCTGCTTAACGCGCATTCATCTTCTTTTTAGTCCTCTTTCTCTCCCTGATGCTCCCAACCCCCCCCCCCACCCACCCCCCCCCCCCCCCCCCCCCCCCCCACCCCCCCCCCCCCCCCCCCCCCCCCCCATATCTTCCTTGTTTTCATTTTTGTCATTTCTCCTCTTCTTATTTGTCCTTCCTTTTCTTCTCCCACCTCCTTTTCCATATACTTCTTCATCTTCCTTCTTTTTTTTTGTGTGTGTGTGTCTCTTTCTCTCTTTTTTTCCCATTTGCTGTTTACTCCTGTTTTGCCTTTCTTTCTGTTCTTTGCCCTCTTTTGCATTGTTCACAATTTGTAATTTCATTTAGCTTAATCTTTATATCTGTCATAATTATCTCTTGTCTGCCAACTCCTCTTTTGCTTGTTTATCTGGCTATCTAATGCATTCTTGATGTACTTACCATTGTTGATTATGCCTCTTCTCCAGGGGATGCCAGGTACTCCAAACTGTGTGATTACTTGGTGAGAAAGAAACGTTGCTACATGAGGAGATATCACAAAATGATGCTGTATCGCGATCTGGTAAGTGATAACACATTCACGTCATAGACGTCTAATTTCAGAGATACTTTTCCTGCAGACTGAAGCCCCATTTTCTCTTTGCCTCCCCCGCCCTTAAAAAAATAAAATAATTTATGTACAGATGTGCTAGCGTAGTTTTCATTTTATTTGTGTATTGGTGTGCTAGTGTAGTTTTCAGTTTGTGTGTGTACAGGTGTGCTAGCATAGTTTTCAATTTTTTCACTGGTACTAACACCAACCAAAATAAAATTAAAAAAAACTTAAGTAAACAACAAATGTCTGTTGGCTTTCTGAACAAGACTAGTAGTATTACTGTGTTATCTCAGACAGTATCTTATATCTTCAGTAAGATTAACTGTGTACCTCAGACACTATCTTATCTTCAATAAGATTAACTGTGTACCTCAGACAGTATCTTATCTTCAGTAAGATTAACTGTGTACCTCAGACAGTATCTTATATCTTCAGTAAGATTAACTGTGTACCTCAGACACTATCTTATCTTCAATAAGATTAACTGTGTACCTCAGACAGTATCTTATCTTCAGTAAGATTAACTGTGTACCTCAGACAGTATCTTATATCTTCAGTAAGATTAACTGTGTACCTCAGACAGTATCTTATATCTTCAGTAAGATTAACTGTGTACCTCAGACAGTATCTTATCTTCAGTAAGATTAACTGTACCTCAGACAGTATCTTATATCTTCAGTAAGATTAACTGTGCACCTCAGACAGTATCATATATCTTCAGTAAGATTAACTGTGTACCTCAGACAGTATCTTATATCTTCAGTAAGATTAACTGTGTACCCCAGACAGTATCACATATCTTCAGTAAGATTAACTGTGTACCTCAGACAGTATCATATATCTTCAGTAAGATTAACTGTGTACCCCAGACAGAATCATGTATCTTCAGTAAGATTAACTGTGTACCCCAGACAGTATCATGTATCTTCAGTAAGATTAACTGTGTACTTCAGACAGTATCATATATCTTCAGTAAGATTAACTGTGTACTTAGACAGTATCTTATATCTTCAGTAAGATTAACTGTGTGCCTAAGACAGTATCTTATATCTTCAGTAAGCTTTGTTACCTCTGATAATATTTTATGTCTTCAGTAAGATTGTCTACCTCAGACATCTCATGTTGTGAATGATATTTTATCTCAACATCTGCTATTCCCAACAGTGTCTGGACAAGCAGCCAGACTACATCCAAAATTTGCTTTGCTTCAACGAGCAGTTACGGGCTGGGATTGACAGTGACAAGGAAGAGGCAATCAGCAATCCAGGTACTTCTGCAGCTCTGATCTTTCTTTTACAGCTCTAATGCTTTCTTCTGTTTCATCAATAGCTCGGATGTTTCTTTCTTCAATAACTCTGATTGTTTTTCGACAGCTCCTATTTTTGTTCTGTTTCTTCTATAGTTCCAATCTTTCTCCTGCAGCTCTGATCTTTCTGCTGCAGCTCTGATCTTTCTTGTACAGCTCTGATCTTTCTCCTGCAGCTCTGATCTTTCTTGTACAGCTCTGATCTTTCTCCTGCAGCTCTGATCTTTCTTCTACAGCTCTGATCTTTCTCCTGCAGCTCTGATCTTTCTTCTGCAGCTCTGATCTTTCTTCTACCATGAGGATTTCCTCTGGAGCTTACAGCGGATGAACAAAGAAGAAGACCTTGTCCCACAAGTTGAATAAGCCTAAAATGGTTACAGGTAATCTCCTGGGAAGTAAAGGTGGCCAGCATGATTTTGACCACACACAGCTACTCAGTACTGATTGGTCTATACAACTATGAGCCTAGTGTCATAAACCCGTTGTGCCAGCTGTGTTAACAACAACAATGTGCTGGCCACCTTTGCCAGGTGTTGTTATCATGGTAACCATATTCAACTGGGCTGACCCTTCTTGCCCTCAAGGGGATTTGACCATTTGACAGCTGGGCCTGAAGACAAGAGGGCTAGCCACTTCTCCCTCACTTTAATTTGTATCTTTATTATACATGCCATCTTGACTTCCCAGGACATTACCTGGTAACCATGTTAACTGGATTGGCTTGGGAGCCAAGGTCAGTTTTGAAGAAGAAAAAACACACCAGGCTGGACGCAGGTTCTAACCCAAGAGCTTTAGGCCGGCAAGCAAGTGCCTAATCACTACACCACCTCAGTATCCTTGTACAGAGTTGTGCATATATTTAAGCAGAATTAAATAGAAACATATGTACTTTCACAGTGTGATCTATGCTGAATATTCTATATATTAAACATTTTGGAAAGCAATAATAATTGTGAAATCACCATTAAGAGAAGTGTATTTTCTTAGTAAATCTTCTGTTTATTTTCAGATCTTTTTGATCCAACCAAACCTGGATACCGTCGCAATGGACCCGCTACCTCTTTTGAGACGAAGACAGAGGATGCTGGTTGTTTGAGGAGAGTAGCTACTGAAAGTTGTGTGATGGATTCCAAGCATAGACACTTGATTTTGAAGCGGAATAGATCACCAGTTTCTGAATATGGTTCGGAACTTGGAGGGTATGCCCAATCTCCTAGTCTTAAAAGAGCTGCCACAGAAAAGGGTCTTACAGGAATGCTCAAATTAGTGATCAAACGGAGAACGCTTGATAATTTTATTGTAAAGAATTCTGTGGAAGATGTGAAAGCGTTGCCGCGCGATTTTCGACCTGTGGTGGATGTAGAAAAGAGTGATAGTGAGTATGAGTTCGACACCAGTGCTGCTGACGTGTCGAAGAATCAACCAGTGATTGTCAGGAGACGAACCTTGTCACTGACCTCTCACCAGACCTCGTTTGATGCGGGCAGTGAGAGCGGCTCTGCCAGCTCGCATGCTGAAGAAACAGCAGGCCAGTCGTCGGAGGAAGAAGGCGAGAATTTGGAAGAGGATGGGGAGGAGAGTGATGAAGATGAGGATTTTGAAGAGAAAAGTAGTGGTGACAACGATGAGTTTGTCGATCATGACCGGAAAACTAAACAGGACTATATTTCTTTTGGAGGGGATATTGACAGTAATGATGTCGAATGTGACAGCGATGATTCCTGTGATGAAGATGCCGATGCTTTGATGGGAATAGATGCAAGAGTATCCGAACAAGCATCTCCTTATTTTGAGGTAAGTAAAACTGGCGCTTCGAATCACTCATCCTCTAGTGCTGGTCATAATACAGACATTGGGAACTACCACAGCAAAGACAGTCGGTCTCCTAATGGCTCCTGCGACACATCTGCAGCATCGGATGTCGCGTTTGACCCTGGTCTGCCATATTCTGATTCAGTCCATAACAGAGCCAACTGCAATGACCACAAGAATGGCGGCTCAGTAAGGGGGAGTGTGGAACATCGTAAATTCACATTTGGAGCAAGCGCAGGTGATGGCAGCCGGCGGTTTTGTACAACATCACATGTGTCTTTACCAGCTGAGGAAGAAGAGGTCGAGTATGTGGCTGATAGTCCCGTCAGCGTTCTGGAAAAAGAAGCAGCTAGGACAGGGCTGCCCAGTTCAACCCTGTTTACAACCCCAAACAAAAATTTGTTAGCAACCGATGCAATGTTTAATTCGGACGATGAAGATGATGTGAGGGGTAGTGCCCGGCTGGTGTCTAAGTTTGAAATCGACAACAAAGATCCACAGAGCAGTATGATTGATGAGTCCGTCAGGTCAGTCATCGACAGCGTACTTAACGACGACGGCGATGACGACAATCATAAAGGCCCTCAGACTAACTGGGCCACGTCCACACACAAACTACAGCCATCTACTGGCCATCGGAATCTTTTTCATCATTTCTCTTCATCAGTTTTACTTCCGTCTGGTCGTGATTCTAACCGTGACATTACAGTGCCAAAAAATCTGAAAAGTTAGTGACAAGATTTTTAGTATTTAATTTAAAAGGCATTTTTTGAGAAGTCTTGTGTGTCATATTTTGAGATGTGTGAGTTTGAACACATGTGAAATATTCCCAATTAGTAATTCGACTGTTGGCTTTAGAACTTGTGAAATACTTTCAGGTAGCAGTGAAATACTTTCTGGCGGCAGTGAAATGCTGTTAGGTAGTAGCTAAATACTTTCAGGTGGCAGTGAATTACTTTCAGGTGGCAGGGAATTACTTTCAGGTAGCAGTGAAATACTTTCAGGTAGCAGTGAAATAATGTAGACACAAATCTGTTGTGCACAATCCCACATAATAGTTTGTATGCAGATGTCTGAAATGTTCAGTCCATTTCAATAATAATAGTCACACGGTGTACTTTTACACACATTTTTAGCATGTATGTACACTCATGTTGAAAAGCTGTCTCACATAATTATCAGCTTGTACACACATCTTTTACACACATTTCAAATGCTCAGTCTAGCATAATAGTCAGCTTGCATACACAGGCAACTTGTACACACATTTTCAGCGTGTACAAACATTGTCAACTTGTGTGTACATATAAAATGTGCCAACAGTCCCTCAAATTCCACATGTGTGAAAAAATGTAAAAGTCCCAGCGAGAGCACAAAGTCCCATTATAATTTGTTACTTGTGTGTTGATGTATATTTCTTGCAAATAGTGTGTAACTGTTAGTGCTCAGAGGAGCGGCTACAACATCTGGCTCTCATGCAGGAGACCCGAGTTCAACCCGGCAAGGCGATTAAGTTTTTCTGTTGGGGGCCAAATTAAACATCGAGACCTACAGTCCCTGATGACAACACCAATCAGGCGGCCCTAAATCCTCAGGCTCAAGGCCTCCTGCCTAGGCGGCCCACAAATTGGTAAAACAGACAGAAACGACAGTTTTTTTTTTGTTGGGCAGTGTGTAACTACATGGTGTAGGCAAGAAACTAGTACCCCCTTGTAACAATTTTTGCTGACATCCCCCCCCCCCCCCCCCCCCCCCCCACCCCCCCACCCCCCCCCCCCCCCCCCCCACCCCCCCCCCCCCCCCCCCCCCCACGCTTCCTCAGATCCCCTTATGAGAAACTGGAATATTTTGATCAGAGGGGTGTTAATGGGAAAGGGTTTAAGGCTGTAGTTGTGGCTGGCTGATGCCCATTGGCCAGCTGATTTTCAGGTACAGGGCTGTCATTACTTGGATTGTGGGGGTGAATTAAGAAGATGTAATTGAACTCGGAGTATTTCCAAACCTGCTTAGTGGCCAGGAGAGAGTTCCTGTAGTGTTGGTGCCAGTTGCACCTTACTTGTCTCCTGTATGTTGAAAACCGTCCAAATGCTCTGCTTACTTCCTGCCGAAGAGTAGGCATTCTGTCATCTATAAGTAACTCACTGCCCAGAGGAACAGCAGCAGCCACACTGTCTCTCTGTTCATTACCTTATATACTAGAATGTCCTGGCTATCCTCCGAATAACGGGCACAAAAGAAGACGGCCGCAAAAACATCCTAACAGAGCCTCAGTCACGTCTCAATTGCGCACTTCCGGCGACTTAATTTGTGGTTTTCCGGCGACTACCGCGTGAACAGCGTCGGGGACTCTAGGCGGCTGCGGTAGTCGCCGGAAAACCACAAATTAAGTCGCCGGAAGTGTGCAGTTGACACGTGACTGAGGCCCTGTTTTTGGCTGCCATCTTTTTTGCCTGTTATTCGGAGGATAGCCAATGTCCTGGGCAAAACACAGTTGGTGAGTAGATGAACAGGCTGCCACAGCTGGTGTAGGTGTGAACTGGTTTGTGTGAGGGTCCTAGTATTTCAAGTCTTTCCCATCTTGTGGCAGCATGTGTGCAGGTGTGAATCCAATGTGTTCTGGTTGTTAGAGCCGAGCAGAAGCAACAGGGGGGGGGGGGGGGGGGGGGTGTTCGAGGGGGGGGGGGGGGGGGGGTGTTAGCTGTGAGTGCTCACTTGAACATTAGTTGGGAGAGTAATTCTTCTTTTCCTCCTCCTCTTCTTCTTCTTCCACAACAGCAGCAACAATCACTGATGCTACTACTACAGTTACCACCACAACAAGTATTACTACTACAATAACTACTACTACAACAATTGCTTCTACTACAACAATTACTACTACTATAACTTCTTTGCTGATACTACAGCTGCTTCTTCACTGCTTAGTCTTCATCATCCCACCATCTCTCTGTCACCCTGCATCCCTTGTTCTTGCTTCCTCACTCTCCCATCTCTGCTACCCTCTCTAGACCTCATTTACTTTTTGTTTCTGCTTTAAAAAACCAACGCTATATACTAGGAAAACATAAATGACATATTAAGTGGAAAGTGTGGCTGGCCACGTCCGCCCCAGCTGCATGATTGGTCTTGTCTGCCGTCCGCCATCGTTACAATTGTTTGAAGAATCTCAGTATGAAGAAATAGTTTAGATTGTGATGTGGCAGCTTCTCAAGCTGGCTATAATCTTTTGGGGGGAGGGGTTCATTTTGGCTTCTGCCAACAGAAAACAAAAACAACCAGCGTGCAATAAGGCATTTTGAAGCACATTTTTTTTTTTTTTGGCAGCAAGCTGTTAATATTTCCCCCAGTTGTTTCTCAATATTAGTAAATTAATAACTACCATATTTTACAGACTGTGAGATAAGATATTTTATTCTCAACTGGATCCAATTTCTGGTGTTTGAAACAAAATACCATGTTTTCTTCTGGTCTTAGCAAAAATGTGAGGAGAATTGATGGCTGTCTGCAACAAAGGATTCACTTGGAGGTGAAATGTTATCATTAAGTGCTTTTTATTTGATTGTTAGGGACCCCTGATGTTGTGCCATTATTTGGAGCAGTTTTCATTGGTACACTTATCGATAAATCCAAAGTGATTAATATTCTATTGTGGCCAAACAAGATCACAAATAAAAAAACTGGAGACAAACAACATGTTCACAAAAGGAAGATGAATATCGCTTGGGCAGTGTTTTGCAGAATGCCTCATGACACCTTAGTAAAGACAGCTCTCCGACGTGTTGCAGATGGGAAAAGGAGATATAGGCGGCCTGAAATATCTGTACGGGGCTCAGTCCAATGAAAAATATGCGAACTTCCGGCGACGAATGAATCGAAGCAAAACTAGGATCGTCTCCATATAGCGAAACAAATGCTCTAACAGGGTCTCAGCGATATGTTAATTGCGAACCTGACTCTTATTGTTTCTGATTACCTGACAATTTTCAGAGACGCAACACTGCAGACGATAATAGCGACTGTTGACACTTTCCATTGTCGGACTTTCTGCCGAGGAACAAGTCGCGGCAAATCTAGGATCGGCTCGGAAAAACAAAACAAATGCTCTGTCTCAGTGATATGTTAATTGCGGACCTGTTTCTGTGACCCCGCGGATAGGGGCTTAAACTAGATGGCTGGGACTCACGAGCAGCAGCTACCGCATCTCCTGCAACTTCCTCCAGTTTTATTTGCTCGTGAGTCCCAGGCATCTAGTTTAACCCCCCATTAGCGGCGCGGGAAGTGCGCTCGGCGGTGAGTTTAAGTGCGTTTTGCGCATGCCGAAATATGACATCTCCCGCTGCTAAATCCTCAATCGGAAGAACAGTATTGCTAATCTGCGTGGGAGTGCGTGGTCTACCCGCCATATCGCTTTCATCGTCTGTAATATCTCAAAATTGTCAATGGTCATTATTATCGTCTGCAGAAACGCTTGAAATGATCAGCGGCCTCTTTTGTCGTCTGCGGTGTTGCGTCTTGTGACATTGTAAGGTACTCCTAGTTTTGCCGCAATTTGTTCCCCGGCGAGAACTCCGACAGGTCCGCATTTTTCATTGGACTGAGCCCCGTACGGATATTTCAGGCCGCCATAATGCGGAGGTAGAAGTTTTTAGGAGAGCCTGAAATGGTACTTCAGGTTTTTGAGTGTGAGATATTTTGTATTTTGGTGAAGCGGTGTCTTTGTTAATTTATTGTTAACGGCTCATCACAGTTGTGAATGTTTGTAATTTATGTATTAAAGGTTAGACATAATTAAAGGGTATTGTAATGACATTAGCAGTTTATTAAATTAATCATTGCCTGATTAAAAAAAAATACCTGCTGCTGCCTTTAGGCTAAGATAAGTATGACCCCCAAGAGGTTTGTGGGGGGGGGGGGGGGGGGGGGGTCATTGAATCAGTTCTTTGTTTTCCTAAATTTAGGGGGGGTGGGGGAGTTACTTAATAACCTGCTGTGTAGTGCAGCTAACATGAAGTAGTAGTGAAAGTCTGCAGCTGAATTTTTCTGATGAATGTTTGCTGCTATTATAAATCATACTATTTGTTCACACGTGATGACATTGTAACACAGGATATGTGATTGTTTTAGGGGAGACATTGTTCTAAGGGAAGCATTGAAGTTCAGCCCGTCTGTTTTGGTTCCCAAGCCACAGAGCAAGCTGTGCTCTGTGCGGAACCTCATTGTGGTGATGACAGTGACAACTATGTGATTTTTTTACTGTATATAATACCTGTTACTTTGTAAGTATTGGATTCTTGGTATGTGTGCATTTTTATATGACATTCTGTGAGTTAAGTTTTTCTACGGCATTCTGTAAGTTGAGTGAGAGGGGATGGGAGATTCTTAGTGCAAGTTAACTTTTTGTGTGGCATTCTATGAGTTGAGAGAGAAAGGATGGGAGATTCTTAGTGCAGATTCACTGTTTGTATGGCATTCTGTGAGGAGAGAGATTTTTAGAGCTTGATTCATTTGTATATAGCATTGTTAAATTGCTTATGTGTGTATGTCAGTTCCTTCAGAGGCAGCAAAGGTGATTGATTGGTGGATACTATGTTACCACGTACAGTATTGAATGTTTGACTGAATGTTTTTTTTTTAAATTATCATTTATTTAGAATTGTAGCCAGAGTAAAAGGATGAGCTCTGAGCATGTTGTTTGTGGCTACAGCTGGTGATTTGGTCATTTACAACAGATG